ACACTGTGTTATCTTGACTAAATCGAGTATTTGCCATTCCCCTTATTGTCTGTCTCCTGTCACTCAGCCAATTTGTGAACCAGGTCGATAATTTGCCATCAGATCCACGAACTTCAATTATAGTTATGTCGTTTATGAGAAAATCTTAATAAATGCCTTCTGGAGGTTTATATTAACACCAACTATTAATGTTCCCATTCTGCCATTTTAGTAGCCTATCCGAAAAATTAAATCAGATTTCTCAAGCATGATGTATCCCTTTTTATCCATACTAGTTCTTGCTGATCAGCTGAATACTTTCAAGATGCTCAACCTCACTGTCCTCAAAAATATAGACTCTTGTAATTTTCCAAACTCAAATGCTAAGCACATTTGTCTCTAATCACTTGATTCCCTTTCTCAACTTTCTTAAGTAGAGGAGTGGCACTCACTATTTCCAACTTAAAGGAACAATTCCTGAAACAAGATGACCTTGGAAGCCTATGAAAGTAGAGTACTGCAGATACGGGTAATCTGAAACAAACAGAAAATCCTGGAGAAACCCAGCAGGTCTTGCAACACCGGTGGAGAGAGAGAGAAACAGAGTTCATGTTAAAGTATGACACAGAACTTAATACTTTAACTGTTTCTGAATTTCTCCAGCATTCTGTGTGCTTGTTAGGAGATTACAGTTATGGCATCAGCAATGCTCTCACCTGGTTCTTTTAAAATTCTGTTATGAAAACTATCTAGCCATGGAGATTTATCACTTTAAAATTATTTTCTTCATCTCTGTCATTCTGTTTTCTTTTCTTAATGATCCTGATCCATGCTTCACTGTTAGTTTCCTTGGGTTGTCTGGTTTAAGTTCTGATGGCATATAATAGCCAACATGTTTGCCATTTTCTTTGTTGCATTGACTATTTCAGCAGAACCACATTGCGTTTATCCTTTCCTTTTTAAATATAATTGTAAACATTTTGTTTTGATTATGAGTTGCAGGTTTCTCTTCATTCCTTTAAATTGCAGTTCTTACTACTTATTTTGTCGGAAAGCTGCTTCTTTCTCTCTCTCCTGCTCTCCAAGATCAATCGGCTATTTTTACAAAATCTTTTCAGTTATTTTTCTTTTAGTTTTCTGTTGTCATTTACCTCTTTACTCATGTATTCCTTCAAGACTGTACTGTGGCCTTAGCCAAGATTTTGTGCTCAACTCTGGAGTGGGGATTTGATTGTAGCAAAACAGCTACAACTGAGTCAAATTAAGGCACTAATGAACAAGCCTTTTGATTTACAAGACTAGTGGCTTTGAAAGGTCCCCATATTAAAGTACATTATATTATATTTATAGTGATTGGAACGAGGTCAGCCAGATGGACCTCATAGAATATGAATGGGGCTGTTAACCTGGTCCAATCAGGGAGTCCTGGCTGACAGATACAAAGAGGAGTGCCAGGGGTTCTGTTCACTCCAAGAGCCAGCTCTGTGCTAGTTGGGTCAATATCATGTATTATGCATGTGCAAATAAAGGGTAACTTAGTGATGGGATAGTGGCCTTCATGGAATTATTTCAATATTAACTTTTACTTATTAATTTGCCTAATGTGTATTCATTAGAGTTTTGTTCATCACATGAAAGAAATTTCTTAATCAGTTCAGATATTTACTTACTGATAGGAGGAAGACAGTTTTGGTTATGGCCGTACTGGTCTTTAATGAGGGTATTGCTGAAAAGATGT